TTAATATGTTGTTGATATGTATGTTTTTACGTAATTAACAAAAACATGCATTCCGATTCTTTTGTCTAGGTACTGTACATGTAATTTTGGTATAAAAGACGAGATTATTGGTTTCCTTCCTATAAGTTTCGTAAAATATTTTACAATATTAATATTAATATACTACAAATATTTTCCAACAAAATGACATCTTCCAATAATGGGTAAAGTTTATTTTTTCCAATGAGTAAAGTTTATTTTTTACAATCTTTTATTTTAATTTAATTCTTCATGCCCTCTTCTTCCTTAGAGTAACGAGAGCTATTGGCACTGCCACCAACGCTATTAAGGGCCAAATCGAAAATACAGCAGATAAAGTTAGAGAAGTCATTAAAGATCACCCTCTCGCTTCACTTGCCGTTGCCTCTGTAGCTACAGCCGTAACTCAAGCTACTGCTAATCGCTTTATTGGTTCGTCAGCTGAGGTCGTTTGTAAATGCATTACCAATTGCACCTGCGGATAGCGATAAATTAATTTTATAACTAAATAATCTTTCTTGTACACGAGGGACTGCAATTAATTTATGTATTATATCGAATTTATTTTATATCAACAAAGAATTCAGACCTATTATTTTTTTATTTTTATTCGCATCATGTAACAATGATATATTTTTTACGTCCTTCGGGCTATATTTTTTTCTTTTTCTTATTGTTTGACAATATTTTTTATTTCGTAAAGTAAAGCAAGGTTCTTTAGGACCATGATTTAATGTATGACTACAACTGAAACCATACATATGAGAGTTAGTTAATGTATTAGTTATATATATAAGGACAAGCTTTATTAGTTTTGCCTTTACGTAGCATTTTTATAAAAACAGGTGTGGGTTTTCTACTCTTTCTGCAAAATCACTTATCCTTGGTATTACACCAAATAATCTTACAAAATGACTATCAAATGGACAGATAACCAACTCGCCTCATTATTGACGAGCGCAAAAATAGGAATGCTAAATATTACGACATTCTGAGAGGGAGAAAATTTGATTTTTGAAATAGTATTTCGAAAAAAAAAATAAATCAACACTTTAGTATATAGATTTTAATGTAAAGAGAAGTTCTTGCATCTTGTTAAAGATCACAACGTGAGTAATGTAAATTTTTCTCCTTTTCCCTCTCATGTTCGGAATGTGTCATAATTCAGAAAAAAAAAAAGTTAAAATACATTTCCCGAAATCTATGTTGCTTGAGATATGTTGGAACTTGTCTAGAAAATTCAGAAGAAGCTACTTGTTTCAAAACTTTTATTTTTCCGTGGTGAAATTTTTTTTTCTTTGTAAGATATAATTTCCATTCGAGATGCCAGAAATATTTTCCAACGTCACCTTAGAAAAAGGTTAATAATGAATTAAAGATGGGCTCCCAAAGGAGATTTCCAACTACAATTCGAAAGAGAACAGAAAGAGCTCGAAAGATTTATGACCTTTTTTCCCATATTAACGATAATAAAAATCAATGGATGATATATATCCAACGAATAAAAACATTTACGGCATCATCTATTTCGAATTTAAGTTTGGACAATATCAAATATGTAGCATCTCAGGTTAGAAAGGATACTGGAACTTAAATTTTCTTTAAGTATGTGATGTTATAAGGCAATCGTGACACTGGGTCACGGTCTATAACTTTGGCAATTTTTTATATCATATAAATAAAGTTTGATTAACCAATTGCATATAATTTCCAAATGTGCTAAATGATAAATGAGGCTGTGCAACAAAAAATGTTCTGAGAATTTCTAATGCATACGACCATAATAATGCATGCATGATTTATTTGTGCGATTAACCAAATTCGATTAATTACCTCATGTGCATACTTTTTCTTTGTAAGAAAATTTTTTTTGACGTAAATACATTCGCATTGCTTTATCTCTCTGCATTATTATTATTATTATTCATTCAATAAATCTAGAGGAAGACGCGGAAGGAATACGTTTAAAAAGGGCAGTATATCGAGTTATAAATATTTATTGCTTTTTATTTGCGATTTTTACGCTTTCTACATTTCTAATATTTCGTAAATAACCGTATTTTTAAAATGTCCACCCATTTATATACTAAAATTTTTAATTTTTTGACTAATGCAGAAGAAGAGCATATAACCGCTGGATCTGTTATTTATCAAGCTATAGAAGATGATCCATGGGTGCAGAAAAACGAGTTGAAAAATATTATAGAGCGGGCAGTATCGTTTGTTAATAACAACAACACTCGAGGTTCCTCACGCCATACGACTCTTCTTGAGATTCTTCCAGAGGTTGGTTAAAAAACTTTTATGAAAAGCGTAAAGATAATTCCGAGTGATGAGAACATATTAATATGTGGCGATACCACACTGAAGAAGCGGGCATAACGGTTTAAGCATCTCATTAGCCCGCCAACAGGAAATTTCCTCGACAGCGGGGAGTTGTTTTAGGCCGTGCTCCTATGCTTGGTTCTATGTGGTTACTTTAGTATCGTACAAAGCCTTATCTGTGTGATGGCCACATATGGATAGGACTTTGTATATATTCTGATGTCGCATGCGGTTCGGAAATTATCTTTTTATAATTGGATATAAACTAACCGATAATATTTCTGCATTAGTTCGAAATTTCTTATAAGGCTGTTTATAGTTTGCGGGCCATTGGAGCTGTGAAAACGAATGAGGAGGTGCCTTTTAATTCAGAAAAAATCCAAAAGAACATAAATAGTTTGAAGGGGAAACTCAAGAAAAACACGTCAGCGCTTTACCAGCATTTATACTCCGGGGTAGAAAAGGTGATCATTTCTGAATTAACCTGGAAGGATCCTTTGGCTAGTCAGGTTATTAGTGACGATTCAGTGCTGGTGCAACAATTACCGAAAAATTTACAGGATTATTTCAAAGTAAGTACTGATTAGAATGTTCCATAGGTGAATAGTGATCTAATTCAATCTATTATTAGAAACCAGTGCGGAAGATGGTGCCTAACTTCCTTCCATCAGTTGTACGAAATAAATGTAATGAATTTGTGAGAAGCTTTATTGTGCGTGATGTCGACAACTTACCACAAGGACTTTCGCATGATGGGTTATGGAAAGAGCCGGCTGAACTGCTTGCAAATGTTACAGTAGGGATTCTAGAAACATTGTGAGCACACCGTAATTTTTAAATTAGCATTGTTTTCCTTTACTTAATAATATAACATCCGGTTTATTAGAAGCGACTCTTGGAAGAATCTGGCATTTGGACCCGAGTTCGCAGAATCGCTAAATGAGGGCACCTATGTAACTAACATAATAGTTCCGGCAATTCGGGCCTTATTGAAGAATCTACCATATGGAATGTCCACGTTTATCAGCACGTATGTTACGTTTAGGTGAAAGTTGAATATTATCCTAATCTATCGCAACACTAATTTATGTTTTTTTCTCTTAGCTCTGAACGTCAAAGTATTGCCAGCGCAGATAGGAAACGTGGTTCAAATGATGAAGGCAAAACAAAATTGGGACGACGGCCAGATATCATGTTTGTCATGAAAGATAGAGGGAAAAAATATGAACTTATGTATACTGAGTGTTCGCGTTTATTTTGCACAAAGAATAAGCAAGATGATGATGCTATGAAGTTGTGGCGTGAAACAAACGATGGGATGGCATTGGTCCACAAAGGTTGCAAGCCCGACAAGGACAAATTTGGAATTATCGGATTACAAGTAGCGGGCTCTATGCTATATTTGAATGTTCTTTTCAGGGATGGAGCTAACATTGACCGATATTATCATCTACACGATTCAAGAATTCCGGTACAACAATCAGATTCGGTTGTCGTGGCTAAATTTATAGAGACCTTGTTGATTTTGAGGGTAAGATACTTTTAAGTGGGTTTTAACTTACGATTTCTAACTTTCACACCACTGTATTCTGTAGAATATCATATATGTTAATACATCTTTGATACCTTGTGCGCCATTAACAAAATCGATCAGGAATATGGAAAACAGCTCAACAGTAGATTCCGAATAACAGGTATACCCCCACTCCCTTTCTTTTATATTATTATCAAATTAATAAAGTAAATTTTAGAGGCGAATTTACCTCTCCATAATTAAATACCGACTTCGTGTCTTGAGATATCCTATATACCATTACTATGTATATGGGGCGATCGAAATTTTTTCCTGATCCAGAATACATAAAAAGCCAAATCGATATTATTCACTTTGAGATATATACATACCACTTCATAATCAAATATCGCTTTCACATCTTGCGTATTCTTATTTATGATAGTTATCCCGGTTTAAAAATTGCATATACTGTGTAGGGTTATCAGTGAATCTACCTTGAGTTTTTCGTCTGCTATTTTTAGATTTGCGAGACATATTAATATCTTATGTATAATGACGTATTATATCAAAGTATTGAGACACATTCAAATTTTTTTTCTCGTCAAAAGTGATCGGCGTAAAGATTCTTTATGCACACGTGATTTTGATGAAAATAAAGCATGGACATCCATCCACATAATTCGATTGAGACAAATGGTTACATAGAACCTTACTTTATTGATATATAAAAAATGTTACCCGAAATAACAACATAAAAATAAAAAAAAAATCATATCGAAGTTACATACTGCAGACGTAAATAAAAAAATAATTATTATGTGTCAGAGACACTAGCTCCGCTATTCCTTTGGTTTTATGAGAAGGTTAACTTGATTTAGGTTGGTGACTGGAGTAGCATTGAAATATTTAGAAACCTCGGCTGTCGATTCCATAGGAATAATTGCGTAGAGATTGAAATTAATAGAAAGCTCTTGGTGACCTTGATTTACCAACAGACCTTCAATCCCTTTTTTAAGTGTGGCAACCTTATCTTCCTTACATATTTCAATATTAAAATATTTACCATCTGGAAAACAACACTTGAGACTAATAGGATTGG